TAAAACCACTGGAGTAAAAAAACAAGGCTAGAAGTTTCTCAGAGTATGAACTACAAAATAGCACAGCCAGATTGTCACGAAACACCTCATTTACTGCACTTACAACCTATGCATCCATCTCATTTGTTAGCACCATTCAATTAGAAGCATTCACAGTGCTGTGGAGAAGCCTTACTGTTCTTTATGTTGGCACAGGCTGCTTTCCTCCCGGATGGAAACATCACCTCTTGTATACATGGGAAAAGTCATGGTCTCACATTGTTTGCTGTACTTTAAGCCAGTATCTGAACACACTTCACTCACAGAGTGAAACACAGAGGAGAGACTCAGCATTAGCCCAGCACCCAGATCTCTACATGATGTCTCTGTTATTGAAACTACACCTTAAAGCACCAGCAAAACTGGAGAGGGGTACCATAGCCAGCACTAGCCATCTTACACCAGGTTCCTTCTTTTCTACAGATATAAGGCCAGGGAGCTACTTGAATACAGTTCTTTCAGTAGTATATTTATAGACAAGATATTTTATCTCCACAAGAGTGATCGCCAGCCATATCAGCCATTTCCCAGCTGGCAATAACCTACTTAGAGAATCAAGGGCCAAAGGCAAATCTAGGCAGTCCCCAACAGTTAGGAGATGTCTATCCCAGGCACAGAATCACAGAATGGTTTGGGTAGAAGGGACCTTAAAAATTATCTAATTCCAACTCTCCTGCCTTGGGCAGGGACACCTTCCAATGGCTCAAAGTCCCATCCAGCCTAGCCTTGAACACTTCCAGGGAAGGGACATTCACAACTTCTCTGGGCAACCTGTTCCACTGCCTCACCACCCTAACTTGGAAGAATTTCTTCCTCATATCTAATCTAAACCTAACCCCTTTCAGTTTGAAGCCATTCCCCCTTGACCTATCACTCCATGCCCTTGCATAAACTCCAACTCTCTTGTAGGCCTCCTTTACATAATGGAAGTTGCTATAATGTCTTCCAGGAGCCTTCTCTTCTCCAGCCTGAACAACCCCAACTCTCTCAGTCTGCCTTCTCAGAAGAGCTCCAGCCCTCTGATTATCTTTGTGGCCCTCCTCCAGACTCCTTCTAACAGGTCCCTGTCTTTGAATCATGAACGTCACTACAAATCAAGACAAATTATTAGCTGAAACAAATTAACATAATTGATGTCTTATCCCATTTCTTTCCCCTTAATGTTTTTCTAAGTAATTTCCTAGCTATTAAAGATTGACCTACTAATTGCTGACAAAACAAAGCAGAGTCTGCAAGGTGTAACAGATTAAATTTTCAGCCAGTCATGCAGTTACCATCTTTTTTTTGGATGACGGTACTTTTCAGTATCAAGGCTTTAGTCTGCCATCTGGTGGATTTTCAGCATTTGGTACACCTAGCTGAAGTACAAACCCTGAGACAGAGAGATTCCTGATATACTGACATCTTCTTTGGTATCTACCTTCTTTGGCCAATGACAGTATTCATTCTAACCACCTGTATTTGCTCAAATGAGATGTTTGCCTGACAGTAATAACTTAATTCCTCTCCCATTTCCAGTCAAATGAGCTTTTACTACTGTAACTATTGTTAACTTTAGCTAACCCTTTACACTGATCGATTTTATACATAACTAAATGGTGACCCTCTCAAAAATAACTTACACAAAACTAGCCCAACAGAATTCCATATTTAGGACCACGAGCTGAGACCCTCAATGACATTTAGATGCTTAATTCTCAATGACCAAACATGCTAGGATTAGTCTCTATTTGAGATGAGGGTCAAATATACTGAAGCAAATCTGTCACCATACAACTTCAAACAAAACTGAGTTTGATTACTGATTCCTCATTCTGAGTATGACAGCAAATCTGTCACCATACAACTTCAAACAAAACTGAGTTTGATTACTGATTCCTCATTCTGAGTATGACAGCAACAACTGTCATTAAAAATACTGTAGGGTTAAAAAACGAAAAATGAGAAGCCAAATAAAATATTTGAAAAAAAATTCAGAGCACAAGTTTTATACTGTATCCAACCTTTCTATGCAACTGAGGCATCTCCTCATTTCTCTTTTTTATAGCGCACAAGTCATGCAATAAGGAACCTGGGATGGATTCAATTTCAAAATGCACTGAGTCCTTTGAGCACACAGTCCTATGGGGGAGTGTGTCTCCCACTCCAGCACACACCGCCACAGGCACTCCTCCACTCTGCATGAGATGTAGTATATTCTGCCGCAGCTAAGACTTCCAGGATTTTAATACTGGATACAGGCAGCCCTCTGAATGAATGAGTTGCAGCTGCTACAACAGATCATCAATGGGCAATTGGGTGAGCTTTCTACTGAACATACAATGTCAATCCAGAAACCTGGATGGAAGATAGCAATCACTATATGGAAAGACAAGCTGAGAGGTGCTGAATTTGCGGTTGTTAATGAGTCTCCTTATTGGAGTCTGGCCTTCCTTTCACAAAGAAAACAAGACAAACACAGATAAAACAGAAAGGAAAAGAACAGCAGTGATTGCAAATGCAGCTTTTGGGTTTGGTCCCTATTGTTACTGGCAACCTGACTACTAGAGACAAACAGGCTCAGCACAGTCTTATCAGCCATCGTGAGACTTGGCAAACATACCAATGGCTGTGCTGTTTTAGACATTGATTTTAGCTGCCTTTTTAGACATAGGCTCACGGCAGTGCTGCTGAAAGGTCATCCAAGACAGACTTTCTAAGCTGAAAGCTAACATCAAGAAGTGAAAAGATATACAACTACGGAAGGAAAAGAAGACAAGAAATGAACAGAGGGAATCAACAGGACTTAAGTGTTATGGTCCAGAGGGTTTCAAGAACTGATCTGTGGCTGCGGCAGCTGGCAGCTGGATTAAGATGGCTCTCTTTCATCAGAACATCTTTTACAATCAGGTAATGAAAGCCCAAGTCATACCATGGGTCTGAAGTCTCTAGAAGACTGTAAGACAACACCGCTTTTGGTACAGTTAGGCTATCTTGCATCAGCAAGCAGAGTGACCTGACAGGTATGGACTCACAGAGAAAAACAGTCTGTACTGTGATCAGCTATCTACAGTAAAAGAATTTCAAGAAAGCTATTTTGAATTAGGTCTAGCCTACCACATAGATTTAAGGATCATTAGGATTTAAAGTTCCTTCTCCAGATTACTTTAGCCTGACAGCAAATGTGGAGGTCCCAAGAGCACTGTGCAATGAAGACCAAGTGCAGTAGAAGGGATAAATGGAGATTCAATTAGAAAGTACAGTCCAAGGAGATCACCTTGGATTGTTGCAGGCTCAGAGAGAGAGAGCCTTTCCAACATCATCTTGTCCAACCTGACTACAGGATGAAAGACAAAAGTCCACATTTTTGTTCATGTTGCCTTTCCATCTTATTCTCAGTTTTTATTTTAAGAGCAGATGTAAGGTTTTATTATCCTGGATAACGTTGAGTAGAGCCCTTTGTGTATTATATGTTCTCACTGCAAACTAAATCCACTCATAAATAAGAGTTATGAAACATATATTTCTTTTAGGAATAGAAGTGCAGGCAGTTATTGAAAGCACATTGCAAGGTTTAAATATGATTCGAATAGATGAAATAAAAAATACAGATATTTCTTCCAGAAAGCTAAGTGTATAACATACAATTAATTTCAACAGACATTAAATACCTTGGAGGACTAAAGCCACAAAGGAATACAGATTACAGTAGTTCAAGACATTTTCTCTTTCAATTTTGCAAGTTTGATATGACATCTGAAAGCCATTTTTATGTCAGTTCTTTCACACTAATCCAACTTTACTTGCAGTAAAGTACTGCAAATTATACCATTTATTTTACTTGTGAAAACTAACCATGTCCTGTCTTCACAGTACATTCAGTCAAAGAAAACCTTCTGGTGATGCAGTATTTCAGTAGTTTCAAAAGTTTTTGCATCATAATGTTTTATAGGGAGTTCAAGGATTTCTGGTATCTGACTGAAGCTTGTTTTCACAGAACAGTGTTTCTGAGGCTTCCACAGCATAAAAAAAACCACCTTTAATGAAACTGATATATCAATCCTCATGTGGATTCAATCGGTGTGAAAGTGTACATTCCTGAAACAAATTAGGTTGATATAAATTAAGATTTAAATCAATGAGATTTAAAACCTTTTCAAGTTTTTTGCACCAGCTCAGTTAAATCAGTTTAAAGTAAAATCTTAAGGTGGTACTGTGCACCTCTGAGTGCACATAAAGTCTGACTTTTCTAGACAAAGTCTTCACTATCCAACAACAAATTCCATCAGCTACAACAGGACAAGGTTTTTATTTGTAGTGCTGCAGCTTACTTTGTAGGTCATTGCAGCGATCAGTGCACTGGCAACCCTTTTTCTGATTTTTGTAAGTTTTATCTTTTTTCTCCTTCTGTCTTCTAGTCTGTGGTTAATCAAAGATCATTATTTATTTTACTTGTGAAAACTATCCATGTTCTGTCTTCACAGTATGCTCAATCAAAGAAACCTTCTGGTGATGTAGCATTTAGTTTCAAAGGCTTTTGTAACACTGGAAGTGATGAGATTTCTAAATTTCTACAAGTAAACTTCTCATTATACGCAGAAATTAGACCCGGGCTCTAGCAACAGGAAACAACTTCTGTATTCTTAAAATTGCCGTGTAAGAAGAACGCCACTTAAGGTAATTTGTCAGTGCGTCTTTTGTCTAAATCACCAGATGTTCAATTTAAATATGCGATGACATCGTAACACACCTCCTGTCCAAACTACCAAATGTTTGATTTCAGTTCACGGGGCAAACGGATGCAAAAACCCGTTGAAAAGAGAAAACAGATGACGCCGGCACGGAGGCACATCCCGCTGAGGCACGAAATGGGACATCCGAGCGGGCACACGGGGATTGCGGGACGAGGCGGGGCGGCCCTCGGAAGTTCGTCACTGCCCGCGGCCGGGCCCCGCCGGATGGATGGCTCCTGACGCCATCGCGGGGCGCCGCCCGTGCCGCCCGCAGCATGGCCGTGCCGCGGGAGCCGCCGCCGCCGCCCGCCCCGGCGCTGCCGCCCGCCCCCGCCGCCGCCGCCCCCACCTTCGCCGCGGCCCGCGGGCTCGTCGGGCGCCGCTACTCGTGCCTGGTGGTGGCGCCGCACCGCAGACACGTGGCGCTGCCGCCGCGCTTCCTGGGCCGCAAGCGCTCCGGCATCCGCGCCCAGCTGGACGCGGAGCTGCTGCGATACTCGGAGAGGTGCGGGCGGGGTGGCGGGCTCGGCGGGGGGGGGCTGTGTCCGCACTAACAGCTAACGGGGCCCGCCCCTCCTTCCCCTTCCAGCCTTCAGGGTGTGCCCGTGGCTTACGACAACATCAAAGTGGTGGGTGAGCTTGGCGACATTTACGACGACCAGGGATTCATCCACCTCAACATCGAGGCGGACTTTGTCATCTTCAGCCCCAAGAAAGGGAAAAAACTGGTGGTATGTCAATGCCTTGGCGTCTCACGGAGCGGTTTTATTTTTTTTTTTTGAGTTAGGTAGTCAAAGCTTGATTTATCTCCAGCGTCAAGTGGTCGGGAGCTTAGGTGGAGATATGTTTTATTCGTGTATGACTAGTTAATAGCAATTTATTACCAGTTGGTACCGGTATTTTTTATTTATCTATCTGTACTGTCTGTCCCTAAATTTGTTAATTTTTTGTATAATTATATATTACCTAAAACATTGTTGCATAAACATTACATATTACTGTGCCATAGTCGTGTATATCATATCCATGCTCTTCTTTGAAGAGCCCATAATTCTCAAACAGGTGTATCTGTTATATTGACAGGAAGGTTTAGAATATTCTCATGAGTTTGGTTCCTTCATTTACAAGAGCAATACATTAAGTTGAAGCTTGCCTTCAATAAAAGGAGATGTATGGCTTACAGAACAGCTTTTACCTTGTTAATACCCTTGCAACAGTACTTTTGGGAAAAGTGAGTTGAGAGTTGGGTTACATTCGTATTTATGCCATACGTTTTGCAGCATAGCTTGTGTCTTTCTAAATGTGTTTAGGAATGAAGAGAATGAAAACATTTTCGGTGTATGTCATTCATTCTTAGGCAAAACAAAGGTGAATATCGTTGCACATGCAGATGTATCAGAAGCCCACTAAATGGAGTACTTAAAAGCTTCCTGTGCATCTTCTGTATCTTCAGCTGCTAAGTAGTGCTGTGCCAGCCTGAATACCTTTTCAGAAAACTAAATCAGACTTAAAATGGCTTCAAATCCAAGTTGATCCCTGTAGTGTGAGGAAAGAGTTACCTGCTCTATTCAGGTACTCACTGTAGCTAAATCCCATGTTTTGACTTTCTTTCTCTTGCAGTTGAGTTCTATTTTCAGAGGAATTGTACGAAGAGTATACAGGAATAGCTTTGATTTTAGTGAAAAAGAGTTACCTTATTTGCTTGATAAACTGACTCCATAACTTGTGCATAAACTCTTGTTGAAAAATGTCCATATAGGAACCTAAATATATGTTTTGTGCATTTAAAGGGCTGATCTTTGCTATATCTTCACATGACATTCTTTTTCTTTTTTAGGGTGTAATTAATAAAGTGGCCCCTAGTCATATTGGCTGCCTGATACATGGGTGCTTCAATGCATCTATCCCTAAGCCTGAACAAATGTCAGTTGTACAGTGGCAAGAGCTGGGGTTAAAAATAGGGGATGAACTGAAATTTCAAGTGTTGCACTTGGATTCCGATACAGCTGGGGTGTTCTTCATTCGAGGAGGACTCACTAAAAAAAGGTATTGTGCCCTGATAGAGAATATTTTTAACTGTTTTAATAGGTCTGTTGTAAACTAAATTATTTTAATTACATCTTAATCTTTAAGCTTTCTTATTTTTGTACAAACCCATGTCTGTATGTAATCTGTGTTAGGTGTTTTAAATTAAACTTTCCACTGTTAAGGACTTGCATGGAATTTTGCTCTGGAAAAATTAAAACTAGATTTTTTTTGAGCTTTAAAAATCCGAGTGTGTTGACCTGTGAAACTGTTGATTGCGTAGATATTAAATGCTCAAAATAACACCCTGAGATATCTAGAGTAGCTGTGATAATGAATGTGCATAGGCTTTTCGAGTGAAAACAGCTGAGTTTCTGAACACAGTGTTTGACATTTACACACAAAGGTGTGTGTATATTGCATAATCACAAATAGTTAGATGTGGATGACTTGCTCAAACATAAGAATTTCAACGACGATATAAGAAAATGCGACACCTTCCTCCTTAGGCCTCTTTAAATTTTTAGGGCAGCTTGCAAAAAATCTTGTCTTTAAAAGAGTTCATTCAGATTTTTTTTTTAGATCAGTCAATTACTAAGCAGTGTTTTTCTGCCAACATGGTTATGTTTTTAATTAAATGTACAATATGACTGCTACTCAGAAATCCATAATATTTTTTGTATGATTTTTCTTTTTTTAATCTAGAAGGGTGCTCTGAATTGTTTCGGTGAATTTACAACGAAATTTTATTATTTTGTCCTTAGTGCCTTTTGGGACATCTCCTCTTCCATGGTTTTAAACTGCATTCTTTCCATATTTATCTTCCTAGACATTTTCTCCAGTGCTCTTGAGTTGCATGGTACCTGCTGGGTTTTTGATTTTGTTTGGGTTTTTTCTTGTTTCGTTTGTTTCTTTAGTTTTCTGGCATCACCTTTGTTTTAATTGTTTAGAGCAGTTATAATTGCTTGGTAAAATCAGAAGTGTGTCTCATGTATGATTGACTAGACCATTAGCTGTGTGTATTTGTGAAAGAATTAAAAAACCGAAAAAGCTTTACTACATGATGTGTAATTATGAATTAGGGGATGAAAAAGGAAGTATTAAATGGTCTGTACAGTGTTTTAGAGAAGAAATTTAGGCTAAGATTTGAAAGAATATTCATTGTGAGGTAAGAAGGAGGCTAGTGAGGTAATAAAAATTACTCTGAAAGTATTAAACTGGCTTTATAGTTTTCTGTCATTAGAGTATCATGCTCTCCATTTGTTGTTATTTTTAGCAAATTTTTCTCTTTTATCTACTTGGTGTAAATACTGCATTTTAGCGAATTTTGAGATTCTACTGTGTGAGGAGCACTAACATGTGTCTGAATTAGTTTATTTTGTGTATTTCTTTTACAGCATGCGGCCCAGACGATCTGAGACCGTTACTGACAGTACAAATGGGAATGAAATTCAAAAGCTTGACCACCAGGAAAATGGCTTGAATGACTCTGGGGAAGATAATGTAACAGAAGAGCCTTTAAATGAGACAAATAACCTTGGGAGGGAAAATGAAGAAGGGCAAAGTGTTGATGCTGTGAATGGGTTATGTGATGAAACAGGCAAGAAGAAAAAGAAAAAGAAAAAGGACGAACAGGAACAGGTATTGCCTACCAGTGACTCCAGTGGTTACCAAAGTGACCATAAAAAGTCAAAGAAAAAGAAAAGAAAGCATTGTGAAATTGAAGAAAGTGAATTATCTCAGCTGTCAGAAAAACCCAAAGCTAAAAAGAAAAGGGACTAAAGCCTGAAGTGCCTTTCCTGAATTAGATTTGAGACATGTTTTGTAAGTTCCAATAAAACCCTGTTTTCAAAATGCATATGTGTATTTCTTTACTAAACAGTCTACTCTACAGGGTTGGATGATGTTTGTGTGCATATGTCCAACTCCTGCTTGAAAGGCAGGAGCTTTTAAAGAATTGATAGAAGAAATGGAATAGAAGCAATATCTGCCTTTTTTATTTAATGAAAAACAGGGCACAAAAGAAACATGGAATGTAATTACAGGAACATGTGCATCACCTCTGCATCTGCTTTCCAGTTCCACACATTAGTCACTAGGTAGTTGTGATGTTTGCTACTCTGATTCCATCTTTGCCACTTGGTGTCTTGATTTTATGAGAGTAGATTAGGATAACCTTTGGGATTCTGGGAAATATGTGTGAATTCCTGGGGATTGAGATTTTTTTTTTGAAGGTAGTAAGGGACCATGAATGCCTGTGAATGAAACTGTAGTTTGGCTTAAAGGTTACACAAATTTTAGTGTCTTGGATCTTTCAGAACACCTTTCATGGTACTCTAGGAAAAACAGTATGATTGGTTGATTCATAGTGAACAGGGAAGACTGGAGATTAATGTGATCCAGTGTGATGAAGTACCACTTGCAAGTCAGAATACCACTGAGGTACAGGTTGATAAAGCAGATGGGAATGGGACAGGCTTTGATAAAGCTCATTTTGAGCATCACACTTGCTGACTTTACAGTTCCTTAAAAAAAAAAACCTAAACTGCAACGCAACTCCCAACTTGTTCTAGTTTTAACTTTCAAATACTGCTCTCTAAGAGGCACCTACTGTCAGATTTTTCCATACTGTTGGAATTAATGTTAGTGGCAAGTTCTGACAATGAGAAAATGACAGTCAGACATTAATAAATGTGCCTTTATGAAGAACTAATTTTCCTGGTATAGATGTGTAATATTTTTTTGAGTATCAGTACTTTTGGTTGCAGCTCTTTTCTATTGTGAGGAGTTCTGGGGAGAACTATAGTGTGAAATGGTTTAGACTAAGTCTTTAACTGAGGTAGAAGGCGATGGTTACATTGGTATTGATTTACCTATTACAAGAAGAACATAACTGGATCTTTGGAAGCCTTGTAAACAGTAAATAAACAACATGAGTGTGGGGGCAGCAAGCTCATCTGTCTGTTTCTAAGTGACAAAACATTCTCCTGTAGTAATTAATACTGATGCTATTAGCTCACTTTAATAGATGTACAGCTTCTAATAACATGTCCACATCAAACATGACCTGAATTTTAAGTGTGACAATGCTTGTTTTAGGGCTCACTTTGTGCTATATTAATGTCTTATGTGCATCTTTAAAGCTCCAAATTTACCAAGACAAATCAAGGTTACCATCTTACAGACTTGATGGCCTGGCAATACATAGTAGGCATTTTAAAGTTATGACACCAATAAAGAACAAAGTTCAATTTGAAGACTTGTAGGAAGGTAAGCTAGCTAATGGCAGCAGAAACTTCCCTAAATCTTCTTTTGCTTGCTCTTCAGAGCACTTGATCTTGAAGCTAGTTTCTGGACCGTCCTGAGATGAACATGAATTGTCCCTGTTGTGTCTCTACATATGATGATGCTGACACTTGATCTACATGCAATTTTAGGGACACTGGCTCATCTATGTATTCTTCCTATACTGTGACAAAATCTGAGAAGTCAGATGATGTTTGTAATGTAGTTGTTACAGCACAGGGCAGTATTCTGGTGTGTTAAATGATGCAGAGAATAACACAGAAGTCCAACACTGTACTTAATGTACTTAAAATTTAGTACAAGCTGAATGTTTGGACATAATTTACAGTAAGAAATTATTTGCTAGCTCCCCCTTTACAGATATTTATATAATGGCTTGAAGGACGAAGTGGGATGGGTGGGTATGGAGGACATACCAGAGAGGAGGATGGCAAGTGCAGACTTTTTTGTTGATGCTGATGTGAAGAGAATGGTGGAGGCAGTTGCTATTGCAGATGAACCAGAGACTGAGTCATGCAACTTTATCTCTTACTCCTTAATAATCATCGTATCTCACTTTCACTTTTAGGGGAGGGAAACACATCTCCAGCAGAACCACTGCTGGTGAGTCAAGCCTCACTAGTTCGTAGAACCAGTTTGTAGCACCAAAAGTTTGTCTTGGTCTGTTCCAGCTTTTCATCAGCAAGGAAAGAAGGGAGACATTCAGGGGGGAAGAACTGAAGTTGCAACTAATGAATCAGGTAACATAGGTAGTATAAATGCTTTCAGAACTTTGAATGCTCTTCTTCTACTTCTGCTGCTTTACCATTCCCTTACTGGGAGTTTCTTACTGTAACAAACAATGCAAACTGTTTTGTTGATGATTAGTCTTTTCTGAAAGCCTACAGTAATCTCAAGTTTTGGGCCTTAACTAGAGGAAGGTTGTTTGGTTTTGGCACAGAAGTGTGGCTGACACCCACTTGTATCATTTATCAGTTTTCTTTCTTGGGTTACAACAAAAGAGAACAATTAAAATAAATGCAGGAGCTGACAATTAATGTTTGCTGAACAAGTTGTTGCTCCAGTGTTACAAATACCATAACGTTACATTAAATTCTTGCTAGGTTTTATGTCTTCGGAAGGAGAAAAGTGAAAAAAAGACTTGAAAAAAGAAGAAAAAAGTTCTTTACGCAGTTGGAGGCAATATTGGCAGCCTCACAGCTGCACTGTTGATGTTGCTGTAGATACTGTTTCTGCATTCTCTAAATATGGCAAGAAAACTTGGATTTTCAGAAGTTAATTGTCATTCTGATTATGACTTACATCAATTCTCTTTGTTTTTCCCCTTAAAAAAAAGCAAGATTTTCCGATGCTTGAAACTAACAAAGAAGCTGAACTTGACACTTTCCGTTAAAGTTTCTCTGAAGTTTGATCTCTATAAACGTTTAACTGTCTGTGTTCCCCTGGACTACAAATGAAGAGTTGTATTGAATTTTGAGTTGAGACAAGATTTTTGAGTATAGAGAACAGACATTTGTAAAACTTCCTATGAGGCCAGATGACTTCATATTTGTTTGCACAGCCTTTCTGTTAGTTTTTTTCAGGGTGCATTCTAGTACAACTTGTGCCACATAACAAAGAGTAGGTTAGAAAGGAAAATTGTATTTTGTCCTATAAATATATTGATAGTTGCACCAAGGTAACTGTGGTCTGGGTTGGTTTTTTTTTCCTGTTTGAACATGAAGTTCACAACAAAGCCAATATTTACATTTGGCTGTGGTTGATAGTATTTTGTCTGTATTATAAAAAACGTAGTTCAAACTTAATCAGCTATAAGTTTCTAAAGTAGGAACTGCTACTTTGTAGTATAAATATTTTGATTCTGCAAACATGTTTCTCAGTGTATTGCATGTCTTTGGCAGAAGAGCAAGCACTCTTACAAGGAAGTATTTTTAGCTCATTAAAACAATTGTTTTGTACTCTCTGAAGCTTGCAATGATCTGCAGTGTTAACTTTTGCTCTTTGTCTTTTCCTTTCTTCTCTTAGAAACAAATTCTTTGCTTTTGACTTGGCACTTTGCTGCTGCTCAAAATACACCGCCCAAACAACCCAGTGGATGAGCTCTAGGGAAAGGATTTTTTAAAGGGCCTAAGTAAGCTGGCTGCCTTTTGGAAAGCATGAGCCTTGATCAAATCTGCCTCTGACTAAACAATTTGCTTTTGGAAGCATCCCAACCTTTGATAGCCCTCAGACAGTACAGACCTTTGCTGTAAAAACCTGGGGGTAGTTGCATACTCAAACCCTTAGGGTTGTATTTTCTTCTGTATACCTATGAAGAGGTTAAGTGACCTGATGCTCTCAGGCTATTAAAGGACAGAAATAGTTTCATTCTAATAGGGCATATATTTTTCTTACCATAGTGTTAATTCTATTCTGCTGTTTAGCTTTCAGAAACCCCGACTATTCAATAAAGCTTGAGGGACTTCAGTATCCAGTAGGCTTTGTTTATAAGGAGAAGATACTTTGTCTTCCAGATTCGTGTGAACAAAAATAAGGTTCTGAAAATAAAGCTTTGCACTTCTCCAACATTGTCAGTAAATAAGTTTTTTTATAGATACAACTCATGATTCTTTTGTCCTTCATCATGCTTTTACACATAACTAAGTTAGAGTTGGGTTAAATTCAGGTTAAATTGGGTGTAAGTCTTGTCCTAAGCCAATCAATTGACCTGATGTTATACAGTCAGAAGCAATTGGAGCCTGGCAATGACTTCAAGTTCCCTGAAGCCAACTGTTCTAGGCAAAGAAGGAATAAGCTTTAGTTTTCCCACTTTAAGGACCTTTGCACTATAACATTGAATACATAGATGATCTCCTCCCATTTCCCAAACTGATATGTCTATAATGTATCATTGCTGCTAGAACCTTTCTGTTTCAGCCAGAGACAGTTCATGTTGACAGAGAACTTATTTGAGAAATCTATCTACAGAAACAGCTAAAATGAACTTTCTGTACAGAAGGTGAGTGAACTGCAACAGTTCTTAGTACATAGCAAAGAAATCTTGTGAACAGAGGCAAGAATGTTGGTACAAGACTCATGATCAATATCTTCCTCTTTTATGGATTATATCAGTGTATTTCATATGAATAGAAGGTTGAGCTGTGACCTTTGGTCTCTGAATCTATATGATACTTAGTAAGAATACAGTTACCGAGATAGGACTATTGCACTTCAAAGCTTCCTTGCTCCTTATTTCCTGTGTTCCTCTTTCCTTTGTATTTTCTTTCACTGGTGTCTTTGGTGTATGGGAACTTCTCCAAGAATATTCTTACTACACCTGAAATATGATGTCCCATTCAAGACCAGGATTTCATTGTGCTGCACAAATTGATTGAGGAGAACCATTTGTTTAAGAAGTTCTGGTAAGAGCCAGTCTGTCAGTACATGAGGTATGTGAGCTTCTAAGCAACAGTTAAGTTGCTTAGAAGTCTGGACTCTGAAAGAAGCAGATCTTTGTCAAATCCTTTGACCTGAGATTCAATTAAAGTTGCATTCAGAAATGATAATGCAG